GTAACCACTACGCTACCAGAGCACCATAGCAACGCTCCTATGGAATATAGTTTATTTATTACCCACATACTACTCTTAGCTGTTCACCTAGATTTCAAGTACTTTAGGAACAGAAAGCAGTCCTCATACATGTTCCTAGCACAAGATTGGTCACACAGAGACATTATACATTTATTAAACTAAAATGCTGTTCCTGCAGCTAGAGGAACTCCATCATCTGTCCATAAGGCCCCTGTTAAACACAGATGTTTTTACATGAGAAACTCACCGGGGCTCTGTGATTCCTTGGCTCCCGGGCATAGGAAAGCTCATAGATCTCATCTTCAGTGTAATACAGATCCAGGGATAGCTGCAGGTCAGAGCAGAATCGGGTTATTTGCTAAGATGAAATTTGCTTTTCCCATGGTTGATGTTTCTTTCCTTCTTGGTTGTTCCTCTCCAGTGGTTTACTCTTTTAGGTTTTTTTTTTTGTTTTTTTTAAATTCATTTTAAAATTCACCAAGTTTGGAGGGTGTAACCTCTACTATTTTAGTAGGGCAAATGCTAGTTCTGAAAATGTTTTTAAAATTTGGAGACATCCTGAAATGCCCTCTTTTAAACTTTGATTTCATATCTAAAATTCTATGTAGATTATCTTGCCAGATGGTCCACACCTCACTTGATCTCTTCCAAATAGCAGACAGAAGATCTGAAAGGATAGTTTGCATGTCCAGATACTACTAAAAATTTGCATCCAGCAACAAAGCCTAGCTTAGATGATAGCAGATATTGAGTTATGAGTTTCAAATATCTCAGAACTATGAATTTTAGAGAAAGGAGGTCATAACCTAGATAGATAGATAAATAACCATATCCCATGTGGATAGACTTCATGAGGTTCAAACATCCTTAAAATTCTGTGCATAGTTTTGAATATATACTTTATAGTTTCATCATGGGATTTATAGATATGAAGCGTGAGGCAAAGACCTGCCAAGATCATCTGGCTGACTCTGAAAGGGCTAGGATTAGCCAATAGAATCAGCCCACCAGTCAGATGGAAAGCCTGAGACTGTACCAAATGCTCCTGTGAACTTCATTCTACTTCACTCACCCTGTGATTTCATTCTACAGAAAAAAGCAAGTTAAAACTGGTAAAATTTTAGAACCAATAAGAGGTATTTACAAGTCATCTAAAGACAACTCTTCCCCTCCCCCCACCCCCGATTTTGCAGAGAAGGAAACAGAGCCTTCAAGAGTTAGGTCTCCATAGTCACATCACAGACTTGCAGGTGTGGCAGGAAGCTCATTTCATCTCACCTTGCACTCAGAGTTCAAATCCTGCTTGTCCTCACCACTCACAAGTGTTTGTTCACCTAGCCTGGGCTTGAATAGCTCTGGGAACAGAAATCTAAGCCAATGATTGCCACTGTTATTGTTAAGTGTCATTGAATCAGTTCCAACTCCTAGTGATCCTGTCTAGGATTTCCGAGGAGCAGCTGGTGAGTTTGAACCACTAACCTTGTGGTCATACTGACCTTGCTGTCCAGGACTCTGATGGTGGCAGGATCTAACAATAAACCTTTTAGTCATGTTCTTGCCCTTTCTGATGAGAACCTAACAGTTTCCATCTCTTACCAAGCCTAGTGTCCTGACTGGCCAGTCAGTTCCCCAAACTTGCTCTTGCAGGTATAGGGAAACACTGCTACAAATCTGAACGGCATACTGTTGAAGATCATAGCCTCTGGAGCCCCACATCCTGGGTTTGAATCAAGGCTCTACTCCATAAACTGGGTGGTCTTTGTGCCTCAGTGCCACCCCCATCCATAAAATGAAGATCAGAATAATAATCTACTTCATGGAGTTTTTATGAGGATGAAACAAGCTAATGTGTGATAAGGTACATCGAGTGATGCCTGGCATGTAGAAAGTGTTTAGTAAATGTTCTCCAGTGTGACCTCACCGTCAACAGGTGCACCAAGTCCTTGTTGGCGTCCAAGGGGGGGGCTACCTCTTGCAGCCGGACCAGTTCGTTGATGTGATTATAAAGGGCCAGAAGCTTGTGGACATTCACCTTCCCATCCTCCAGGTAGTCGGGCATGGCTTCATAGAGGGAGATGAGGTCCTTGAGGTGCACCCCAAGGATGGGGATCTTGAAGTGGGTGCACTCCCCATAGGCCCGCCGATAGTTGTCATAGTTTCTGCAGGAGGATAGCAGTTCAGTCATCTCACTGAGGACCTGCAGAGGTAGAAGAACATTCCAGTTACAGGCACCGACCACTGCTGTAGTGTCCGTAATGCCCACTTGCTTCTCATCCACTCCCATGATCTCACCCCACCCCTAACATGTTGAGCAGGAGCCGATTCATGGGAAAGGTGCAGATTTTGACAGTCAAATTTAAGACTTAAGCCAGACATCCCAGAGTATATTAGAAGGTATGCTTTGCTTGACTATACATAACAATTTAAAACAAGATTCAGTTCTCAGTTTTAGATTAAAGTGTATTTCTTTAAAAACAACAACAACACAGTATAAGCACTGTTAGAAAGATTTTAAAGGTACAAGAATATACAGTAAAAAGACAATGTTTACTGATCACACAGTTCGCTTCTCTGGTGTCTTGTGAATGCTTCCAGAGACATTATAGTGCAGAGCATTTGAAACATGGCTTTGGGAAACACAGTTTGTTTCCTGGTGCTGAGCAATACACTATAGAAGCATGGCGCTTCAGGGCTCTACCGCATAGTCTTCTCTAGGAGATGTCCCCCAAAGGGGCCTGCGTCTAAGAAGTAGGTGACCTCCACAGTCTGAAACCCTGGGCTAGAGAGACTGAGTAGATTAGATCAGTTGTCACCAAAGGACACTTTGAAAGTGAATAAGGTGAACGCACTGTGGAGCTCGGCACTAGACTATATCCCAGGTTGGTCCTGAAGTGAGCATGACGGTTGAGTGAACACAGAAAGGGAGTAGCTACATCTGCTGCTCTTTTCAAACCTGGCTCAGGTCAGCAAGCAGTCCACAGAGTCCAAAGGTGATGGTCAATGGTCAATGGTCAACACACTAAACATTTAAATTGTTGTTCCCAACAATCTTTTCATTTAATTATGGCCTGGAGAAGTACCATTGATCCACAGTGAAAAACTGGAGTCTGGGAGTCAGCCTCTTTCAATCACCTTAGGGTGGCAAGAGCACACCTCCTCCTCACACACTTCCAGCAAACAGTATGGCTGTGTGAAGTGCAGGTATAAGTTGCCATCGGCCAGCCCATGGCTAACTGACTCAAAGGAATAGTCATCTTGTGACTAGTTCCCTCTATCATCTCTAAGACATGAGTAACTTCTTCAGTGGTTCAAGCCTGGTCCCAGCTGAAGTGTAGAAAATAAAAGGTAACTAAGAGTTCCTTTTTGACCAGGCTACTGGGTTGAGCAGCATCTCCAGAGCCTAGCCTTGTGACAAGAGGAAGGATAAATGAGAGGCTTCCTAACGTGAGACTGAACACCTGGGAAGAAGGGTCAGGGTCTGTGAAGCTCAGGCATCTCTCCCTAAGAAGAACATTTTCTTCCATGCTGGGTGGATGCTTAGGGTTTCAGTTTATTAACGGAGGCTTGTTGGTCCTCTTACATGTCTGGAAAATGCCTCCTTATCTAACTCTTACCATACACAGCTGTAGTTATACTTTCATAATGCCATTGTGATTTATAGTTTTAGTAGCTCTATATCATAAAAAACAAAACAAAACAAAAAAAAAAATGAGCTCTGGTGGTGTAGTGGTTACGAGTAGGGCTGCTAATTTCAAGATCAGTAGTTGGAAACTACCAGCTGTTCTACGGGAGAAAGATGAGGCTTTCTGGTCCCATAAAGATTTATAGCCTCGGAAACCCTGTACAGGGTTGCTATGAGTCAGAACCGACTCCACGGCACATAACAACAACAACAAATCATAAAAAAGGTTAAATTCTGTAAACTTTAATAAAATAGGGAAGTGCTTAGGACATTTAAGAAACATGATCTTCAATAAAACATGATCTGTTACAAAATGGCACCCAAAGAGCTCATCTCTCTTCAACTCCCTGGGAAAATTCAGCAGCTATACAAAATGCCAATCTTCAAGAGTTTGAATGTGTCACCAGGTATACAACTACACTCAACATGCAGACTGAACTCTTATCAACTGAACCATTACTCCTTCTGGGCAAAGGCTTTGGAGCAGGGAGCAGGAGCAAGGCAACTAGTGTCAAAGACGGTGAGTGATTTTGCAGCAGCATATGTATGTGGGGGGGAAAGGAGCCCATATGCTTTCAGCTGACCCACCAGGGAGAGGTGAAGTGGTATGGTTTGTGGTCACGCCGATCATAGTGACTGAAAGCTGACTTCCCTGTGCTGGGAGTGTTCTTGGGTACTTGGCCTGGTTGACAAGAGATGGTGCAATTTGGAAATGCTCTTTGGGTTGCTTCTTAAGGAGAAAACATCCACAGTGGTCCTGGGGATGCCACCAAGGGCCAGAGAGAATGAAGTAGCACTGACCTTATTGATCTCATGAGGGACATGCGAGCTCGTCTCCTTCAGCCTGGAGATTGAGCTGTGACACAATCCGCCGATCACAGCCATCAATGTGTTGAAGTTCTGGAGTTGGTGGAGCTTCTGTGACACAGAAGACAGGGACATTGTCATTGTGTATGACAGTCACCTGGGAGGGAAGAGGCAGCCGCTCTTCCTGTGTTCCACGGTTTCCTTATCCTGGTCAAAGCCAGGCAATCAGGTGTTATGCTTTTCCACCCATTTCTCCCCTTAGACTTAATTGCAGACCTGTTAATCCCAAGTATAGCAAGATGCCACACCCCCTTTAACTGCTGCAGGTGGTCTGCAGAGCTCTAGTTAGACCAATGATTCTAAATACCACCCAAAGTACTTGTTTACCACAGATGTCTGACTCAACTTCAGACATGTGGATTTCCTGGATTTGTACTCTTAGCATGCCTCTAGATAATGGCAGAGCCGGTGGTTCATGCTCCAAAGAACTTTGAGAAACACTGGCCAATCTTCACCATTCAGGGTTGGAAAATGCACAACTATAGGCAGTCTTTTATTTCCTTTATCCAAATTAACCAGACTAGTGTGTTTGAGGGTAAAGCCTTTGTCTTATTCACCTAGCATCAAGCTAGAATCTCTGGGGAATTTAAAATATGGGTTAATACTTACCTATTTTTCTCATATCAAATGCTTAAGCTCTGCCCCTCAAACAATTAGTCCAGCCATTTAACATAGTGTGTGCTCAAAATCTTAAGAACATTTAGGCTTGTCCAGACTCAGGAAAGATTGGACCTGTGCTTTCCTTGGCTATAGGCATGGGCCAGGTGATATGAAACCAATGTAGGTTGCTAAGCATCTTTTAAAAAATGTTAAAAGAGTTAGCCAGCAGGATAAAAAACTTATCCTAACCCTGAGGTGCTATGTATGCCTCTCTCTTCATGTTTCCCTGATATGGGGAATAGAAAGGTCACCATTATCTTAATTTGGGGATAATTGAAGGCACAGGTTCATACCATGGATCATGAGGGTAAGCACATCTATGGGCAGACTAGGCTGGGGAAGGAGTCCTGGTGTGGTGCTGTGGATAAGCATTGGCCTGCTAATTGCAAGGCTGACATTTCAAACCCACCAAGTGCGCTTCGGAAGCCCTATACAGGGTCGTTATGAGTCTGAGCTGTCTGGATGGCACTTAACAATAACAATAAGCTAGGGGAAGAGAAGGGCAGAGAATTTACCTTATTACCCAGGCCCAAAGGCTTACTCCAGTCACTCACCTGAGCCACCTGGATGAACTTGATAAAGACTTCAGCTCGGAGCTGTGGGGTGGGGCGGCTGAGAACCATGAGTTGCACCCACTGGGAAATGCCGTTACACAGGGCAATGGACCGCTCCATGGTGGGGTTCTCTTTTACAGAGCTGTTCACAAGGTAATTCTGATAATCGGAGAACTGAGGACAAAGAAACCCATCAGGACTGCTATTCTAGTGTTGTGGGAGACCTGAAAGATGGTAGCTTGGAACTGTTCTGGACAGAGCTGCTTGTCCTGCTCTCTAGCCACTTGGCTTCTGGGATTGGTGGATGGGGAACCATTACTATTCAGCACGACCTCTCTATACCCAAAACCACTAAGCACAAGTAGATGTGTATATACACTAGTTATTCAAAATAATTCACTTGTGTAGGTCTAGTAGCCCATCAAAATGCGACAGGAGACATTACAGAAGAAAGATCTCAGGACTGGTTCCAGGTCTGACACTGAAGTTCACGGAAAACAGAGAATTTTCTTTTTGTTTTCTTTATCTCAATCACTCCCTCACCTCCCTCCTCTCCTAGTTAATTTTATACTTTGAAAATGGGGAGTACAGAAGTATAATGAAGATCATCAAACAAGATAACATGTGGACACACTCTAACTTTTCAAAGTGCTACATAAATGTGAGGTGGTGGCACTGGGACAATTACTAACCTCGAGCTAAAAATGCCTGTGTGGATTTCCTTCTACTGCCATCTTGTCCCGAGACTGCGTCAGGGGAAATGTGAAACTTAGCTTGCCATGTTTTCAGTGATGGTATCAGTTCCCAAACTTGATAATGCCAATGGCACTGACTGGTTGACAATGAAAATGCATATGTGAAGTTGGAAATGTCCTAAAGGACCCAATGCAAGGGATGATTGTATCTGTTGTGTCCCTGTCCTAAAGAATCCCTCTGCTGAGTCAGTGTCACCAAGAGGGAGGGGTGTCTGCGATGGGACTCCTTAGTACCTTCCACAGAGATTTCCAGTTCTCTGCTTTGGAAGCTGGTATGATGACCACGTGATACAGTTTAGTCAATGATATGTGAGAGGAAGTGATGTCACTGTTGAGTCAATGATTTAAGAGCCAGTGAGTGATTTGCCATGTTGCCTTCCCACTGAGCAGAAGTTGTGGAAACTCACGTCAACATGAAGACTCCACGTGAGTCCCGGAGAGGTCAGTAGCAGCAGACCCCTCTGCTGACCCATGTCAGACATGAAGTGTGAGTGAGAAAGAAATTTTTCTTTACTTTGTAAAGCCACCAAGATTACAGTGGGGAAGAGCTATTACTGCAGTATATCTTAATTCTGCTTCATTAGTGGCAACCTGATGAGAACTCAAATCGAAAGAGAACAGTTGCCAGTGAAGTGATTTTCATGTTAATGTGCTGTGGTTGCTGAGGGGTTAAAAAAATATGAGCAGGACCCAAATCACTTCTTACAAGGGACATATAAAGCAAAAATCTTAGTGAGTATAAAAGAAAGTTTCCATGACTCATCCCAATGAGTACATTTTACATACACCTCCCACTACAAATGTAACACCGAACCTACTTGCTTTTTGAAAGACTCACTCTAGTCATCTCCCTCACTCCCTGTACAGAAAGGAGTTAACACAGAGGGCCTGGGACTGCTAGCCTTAGGAAGCCCTACTTGCTAGGTTGGGCCTTTACTGGCATCTGAGGGATTTCAGGACTGCTCCTATCTTTCTCTAACTGATGAGGGTTCTGAACCGTGCACACACTATCGTTTGTGCTCAACACTACTTTCCTTCTAGGAATGTGGACTTTTGGCACAGGTTAGGCAGCGGGTACCTATACGACCAGCCCCTAATAAAAAGTACGCACACTGTCTCTGGAGTGAGCTTTCCTGATAGACAGCGTTCCACATGTGCTGTTAGTTTGATGCTGGAGGAATTCAGTGTGATGGTGCCTTCCCACTGAGCAAGGACTCTTGGAAACTTGCACCTGCTTTCCTCTTGACTTCGTTCCCTGTGCCTTGTCTCTTTGCTGCTCTGGTCTGTATCTTTCACTGTAGTCAAGGACACCGACCTCACTAGTCTCCTGTTGGGACCCTCAGGCCTCCTTCAACACCAAAGTGTTATGGTAAATATAAAATACCACTCAATCCACAGTAGAGATTAATTTCTTTTCAACCCTGTGTCTAAGGGGAAATAATTGTTGAGGAAAACTAGTTAGAACTGAGTGGGAAAAATCATCTTCCCGTTTTTTTCAGTGAATGGTCCATGCCACTCAAAGAAGTGAAAAAACAGTGAAGGTTCAGACGGATGCTTCCCTTGTAGAGAGGGTGCCGCCTCAACCCCACGGAGCACAGGCTTGTTCCTCACCGGTTCTTCACTTCTGTTTCCAGTGACCTCTGGCAGCCCACAGACACCCTGCCAACGTGGCCCCAGTGCAGCTCCAGTTCCAATGTGATCAATGGCTCTTTTCATTTATCTGACTGGTGTCCTGCCCCATGAAAAGGAGACAGTGCCAAATGACAGCTTCCTGAGTGGAGCCTGCAGGTAGGAGCCTTGGCACTGTCTGAGGGGTACTAGTGGAGGAATTGGGGGCTAATGCGGATGAACACCTGGAGGACTTATTTCTGAATGGGAGCTGGTGGGGTTCTTGGCTGACTGGCGGACAGTTGTGTGAAAACAGAAGGGATGTCAACCTATGGGAGAAACAATGAACTAAGCTCTGTAACCTAGCTGGTCTGCAGGTTCCATTCCAGACTCCACTGAACTCAATAAAGAGGTGCTGAGTGACTGAGAGGCAGATGGTGGTACAAGGTAACACTGACTTGCCTGTGGTTGGAGGCCCAGCTCTGACCTGGATATGCAGTGTGACCTTGGGCAAGCCATCTCTCCCTGCTCCCTCCCCTCACCTGGGGCCACAGGTCAGCTGAAGAAATAATATCCATAATAACTCTAGTTTCAGAGCAAACCTGAAGATTGAAGTTGGTAGAGGGGTTGTACTGAGAGGTGGAAACCCTGTCAAAGATTGAGGGTCACCTGACACGCTGTAAGTTCTCCTGCATGGAACCAATGCTCTTTGGCTGTCACCTAGGGAGTGTGAAGGCTTACAGCAAAGAAGGGATGTGCTAGTGTGTTCCTTCTGTTCCACACGATAAACTGAACTAGCTCTCTTCATACTGCTCTCTGCCACCAGAAACTTGGGCTCTGCTTAGTTACCACATTAAGGAGGTCTGAAGTCACTGTGATTTATCTCTAGAATCATGGGTAATGGCTGGGCTACGTCACCATTACTTCGAGGGTTTAAGTATAGTCTGGGCTAAATCAGGAGTACCTATTTATTTTGGGACTTCCTAGAGCCATTCAAAGCCTGTCCAAGAATGAACTTAAAGTTTTAGAGGACATAGCCTCATTTTATTATTTTGTTTTTCTGGAGGGAGTCTTTTTTCAAATTTCTGGAATCTAATGTTTAACAGAGATAAGGACTCTGCATGTGTATGTGTAGTTGCCTCTGTGTGTACTGTGTGCGTGTGTGTATATACTGTGTGCATGTACTGTGTGTGTATATTGTGTTTATATACTGTGTGTGTATACTGTGTGTACTGTGTTTATATACTGTGTGTGTATACTTTGTGTACTGTGTGTGTATACTGCGTGTGTATGTGTACTGTGCATATTGTGGTGTGTGTATATACTCTGTGTATATATTGTGTGTACTGTGTGTGTATACTGTGTGTGCGTACTGTCTGTGTGTACTGTGTGTACTGTGTGCATATACTGTGTGTATTGTGTGTATACTGTGTGTGTATACTGTGCATGTATACTGTCTGTGTGTACTGTGTGTGTGTATACTGTGTGTACTGTGTGTATACTGTCTGTGTGTACTGTGTGTGTGTATACTGTGTGTACTGTGTGTATATTGTGTGTATATACTGTGTGTGTATACTGTGTGTGTGTACTGTGTGTGTATGCTGTGTGTACTGTGTGTGTATACTGTGTGTACTGTGTGTGTATACTGTGTGTACTGTGTATAGTGTGGTGTGTGTGTACTGTGTGTGTATACTATGTGTACTGTCTGTGTGCACACATGTATGCCTGTCTGGGTATTATATGTCAGTGTAGGGTGGGGTAGGGTGGGATGGGCATGGAAGATGGGAGATGGGGGAAGTACAGCAGAAGCAACCAAGGGAATTCAGAGGGCACAGATTTTCCAGACAATGTGTGGTGGGTAAGGCCCTAAGCACTGGATGAGGAGGTGGATGAGCTATTGACTTTCTCTGTGTAATTACAGGCACACCCCAGGAAAGCTTTTATCTGGCCCCTTAGGTACATACAGCTATCCTTCGAAAGGACTTGAACTCCAGGTAGGTGAGGTGCTCAGATAACTCTTCTGGTTCCAGATGGTCAAACAGTAGAGAGACTTTCCGTTTCTTGCTGGTATTCGATTTTATTCTTTGAGTAAGTTTCCTGGACCAATCTCGAGCATTGCTTTTGTGGATAAATATAAAAAGGAGAAGACAGAGGAAAGAAAAGAAACAAAATTGCTTTTTAAAAGTAAATCCATTAACGTTTTCCACAAGAATATACAAAGCACTAGCTATCTTCCACTGGTCAATGTAATAATGCATTAACAGTTTCCCCAGATCAATGTTTTATATGATAGCACCCAGGAAGCCTTGCTGGTTTCCCATAGTTCTTTCAAGTATACCATGGGAAACCGGCTGGAAGGAGAGTTTATTTGCAGATGATGGAAAGAACATCACAGGCATTGCTCACAGTTTCCTCCCTCGTCTATGCCTGGGCACGTCTGCTCTCTTTGTGTCTCTTGTGTTCCCTTGTTCCCATGGGTGCGATGGGACTCCCTATCTGGTTGGAAATGTCAAGGCTGTAGGGCAGTTTCCAAGCTAGAAGGGCAAGAGAACCAGCCTCATAGTGCTGCTGGACAGATGATGTCTTGCTGCAGGGGATCACGTGTAGGACAAGCTGTCACCCTGGACAGGGATGTGGAACTTTCCTCAAATCTCCCTAGTCACAGGAACGACCAACAAAACCTAGCTGACCCCATGGTACCTTCCACATTGCCTTGCAATCAACCAATATGCTTCTTAATTAGTGCCCATCCTTATACAAGCAGCCCTGGGAATAGGCGAGATCTGTTGGTAACTGTCTTTAACCTTTTCAAGACTAAATTATCTTCTGCTTTGAATTTTTTTCTTGAAATTGTGTTTTCAGTAACTGAAGGCAATTTGAATGAAGAAACATTTTGTTATGTAATATGAATTTTGATATAATTAGTGGAACATCGTATGTCCTGAGCGGTCCTAGATATGTGGTTGGTGGGATGAGGTCTGTTTCTGCAGATTCACAGTTATACAGGCCTCCACCAGATGCTCTGAAAGTGGGACAGGAGTGTCCCATTAAACTGCAGACACAGAAGTCCTGCATGTCACAAAAGGGTTAAGCAAATTTATAGAGAAATTGAAATAGGTGTTTGCAGTTCTTCTTTAACTTCACTTTAGTGCTTTCAAAGTTGCATGTGCAGAAGTGAAGAATTTGAAGAAGATGAAGAATTTGTTGGAAGTACGGGTTGGTGGTGTGGTGCTGTAGGATAAGCACACGACCACAAAGTTGTTTTAAGCTACAAGATCAGCAGTTCAAACTCACCAGCTGCTCCTCAGAAAACCTCAACAGGGTTGCTATGAGTCAGAAGGATTCAACCACAGTTAACAAAGGGGTGCTTCAATTGTTGACATTGAGGACAACTTTACATAACATTAAAGGGAATTGGAAGTGAAGAACTTACTGGTGTGGTTTTCTAGGATAAGCCCTGGAATGCTAACCACACGACTGGTGTTTCAAACCCACTAGTCATTCCTTGGAAACCCTATACATGGTCACTATGCGTCGGAATCTACTCGACCGCATTTAACAACAGCAGGTGCCAACGTTAAGTTGGTTCCAACCCATAGTGATGCTCTGAACAGAATGAAACACTGCCCGGTCCTGCACCATCCTCACAATTGTTATGTTTGAGCCCACTGCTACTGCCACTCTGCTGATCCATCTCACTGGGGTCTTCCTCTTTTTCACTGGCCCTCCACTTTACCAAACATGATGTCCTTCTCCAGGAACTGGCCCCTCCTGATAACATGTCCAAAGTATGAGAGATGAAGTCTCACCAAACTGACTTCTAAGGAGCATTCTGACTGTACTTCTTCCCAAACAGACTTGTTTGTTTGTCTGGCAGACAATGGTACTTTCAATATTACTCTCCAACATCACAACTCAAATGCATCAATTCTTCTACAGTCTTCCTGATTCTTTTTCTAACTTTCACAAGCATATGGGGTGACTGAAAATACCATGGCTTGGTGACTGAAAATACCATGGCTTGGTGACTGAAAATACCATAGCTCGGTTCAGGCACACCTTAGTCCTCAAAGTGACATCTTTGCTCTTGAACGCTTTAAAGAGGTCTTGTGCAACAGACTTGCCAGGTGTAATCCATATTGAAGGCAAGTTGTTGATTTTGTTGTGCCATCGAGTTGGTTCTGACTCATAAACACCTTGGTTTCCAAGGAGTTGGTGGTGTGTTTGAACTGCTGATGTTGAGGTCAGCAGTCCAGTGCTTATCCTACTATGCTACACCAGGACTCCTGAAAGCAAGTAGTTGTCCATAAATTTGACATTTATAATCTTGGAACTACCTGTCCTAAGGAAGGAGGTAAAGGGAAGCTGCTGAGTTTTGAGAGGCAGTAGGGTGCAGATCCGAGTTTCTCATACTGGAATTTCTAGGAACTTTGACAAAAAAAGTTATGTGGTCAGATGAGTTTGGAAAATACTGCAAATTCTGTAGCCTCATTAGTCAATGAGTGTATTACAGACTCTGAGATGCACTGCGAAAGGAAAGTTTAGCTCTCCATGTGTCAACCAGATCTGGTCAGAAAGTATCCTAGAGACCAATTCCTAAAGAATATACTATGGAAAACACTGGTAGAGGAAATCCTCTTAGGGACATATTGGGACAGGGACAGCTAGGTTTGAGGAGTGCTCTGAATCCTAGGACCTTCATCTTTAAAAGAAGGAATTGTTACTTTGAAAAAATCTCTTTACTTTTGTAAGCAGAGAAGTACAGAGAATCCAAACTATTAAACAGATTTCTGTAGGGCCACAGGGGATGATTGTGAAGTCATCTGAACATGGGCATGGCACAGGGAGCTCTGTATTCAGTTTCTGCTTGGCCACTAATTTAACTAGGTGTGCACCCCACACAAACTACAACCTCACTAAGCCTCAGACTTCCAATCAGAAATATCAGGATGTCTTACTAGACTGAATGTCTTTCAGTTCTGGAATTCTTTATCCTAAGGATCTGTCATATCCCAAAATAAAGCACACATTGACATTCAATGTATTCACTTCCCCCGAATTGAGAAAGAGACTTTTTGTTTGTGAAAACCTTGGCATTCAATGTACTCATTTACCCCCAGTTGAGAAAAAGACTATTTTTCCCACCCCCAGAGTGGGTCAGTCAATCTTGTTAATAAACTCAAGGATTAATTTGAACTTGTTCTGAGATCCCTCCCAGCTCTGCAAATCGAAGTGCTTTTTGCAGACCTCCCAGTGCTCGGTACCTTTTTCAGTAGTGTCTCCCCTTTGCAAATTCAGGGGCCACTGCTGGCACTTGATGCTGAAGAAGCACTGGTTTGGTCACCCTGCTTTCAGTTTCTAGTGAGCTGGAGAACTTTTAAGTTAGTATCTTGTACCTGATTTCTTTATGACTGGAACTTATTAATCACCAGGGGGCTTCTCTGCTTCCCTACAAAATGCCAAGCTTTTCCCATTGGTTAGACATTTGGAGTGTGAGGAGGGCCTTCTCAGACTGGTGAAAGAGAGCAGCAGGGACCGAGGGAGACGGAAACAGCCTGCATAGTATTACAGAGAGAGGTGGTTTCAGAAGAGTAGTCAGAACCTGGACACTTACATTTGAGATGTGTCAATTAGGCGGCAGTGCAGCTCCTCACCATTATCTTTCACCAGCTCCTGAAACTCCTCCATTGTGTTGGTCAAGTTGGCATCCATTTTAAACATGGTCCAGAATTCCGTTATCCAATACCTACAAAGAAGGGGTTAAACAAACCAACAAAAAAAGCACAATCCAAAACTGAAGCCAAAGACTTCTACTCTGGTGGGTTCTTAGAGGAATGTGCTGCCCGGAAGAGGACTCCAACACAGAGACTGATGTGTTCTTTCACATCCTTGAAGGAGTGAGGGTGGAAATGTGAGGGAAGAAAACTGCCCATGGACCATCTTCCGCCTCCACTTTCCAAGGGCTTTGAGAGGATATGTGTGTTATAATCAAAGGAACCAGGACAAAGATTGAGGCATAATCGTATGTATGGTTATAAAGTAAAAAAACTACCGATGAGGCGAATGTCCAAAGAGAGGGCAGTACGGCTGTAAATTATATTTTCTCATATGTTGGAATATTATATGGCCATAAAAATCATGTTTACATTCCTATTTAAATAAAAATTATAGGATACAAAACTTTATATGTATTTTGAGTTCAACTAGTTCAAAAAGTCTGTTTGAAAATAAGATAAAAAGAAATATGCCAACATTTTTACTATTGATAATCTCTAGGTAATTTATGATTAGTTGTTATTATAGTTATATTCTTTTATATTTTTTCCAAGTGCTCTTCAATGAACTCTATTACTTTTTTTCTCAACTGTCGTAAAAATATAAAGAACACAATCAAGGTATCTTTCACTTTCTCTTATACTGATGGATAACCCAAATGCTAAAAGACTAAGGACCACCCCTGGTATGCAGTGTTAATTCAGGCATACCAGGTAAAAAACCAGTACCCTCTGAGAAGTTTCTGGTCCTAAGAGATGGTCCTTCCCAGTCTGTCCAGTATGAGCCTGGAGAATGGAACGACAAGGAGGAACAGGGAAGTGCTCGTGTCCCTTGCTTCCACTTCTCATTTCACTCATACCATAAATCCTTGAATGCACGCAGCAGAAACTTTACCTTACAAAATAGCAGATCTTCAGGCAAAGCCCTGGTGAATTCTTCGCCAAGGCATCCTTATAGGTAGAGCTGTGGTTAAGGGAAACGGAAGCCTCTATTACAGAAACCGAACAGCTTTTCATCTTTGGAAGTATTTATTAAAACGATCTCCCGGAATAATATTTTCAATGAAAATGTGATGTCTTTCTGGCTGAAGGATAAAAAGCAGCCTGATGATTGGAGTTGATTGCTGATTGTCATCCTAAGGGAGCAACCACAGTGACTTTCTGTCTAGCCAAGCGGAAGTGGGCTATGGAAGGAGGCTGGAGTAGCTCCTTTGCAGAACTGGAACTAAGAATTCAATAGTGTGAAAAGGTCTCATTAAAGGTGACCTACTTGAGAAGTCAAGAAGGGACAATGACGTCCTTCCTGCGCTCAGCAGAACAGCAGCCTAACTAAGACAGTTATACAGCACAGTCCCTTTTCATCTTAAAATGCTTCTAAAAACAAGACAGAAAACACCTGTTGCTGTC